CTCTGCCAGGGGCCACTGGATCTGCCCGTGCCTGGGAACGGCTGGGGAATCATAGAGGATGGAGATTCCACCACCTCCCTAGGGAGCCCAGTCCAGTGCTTCACCACCCTCCTAGTGAAATAGTTTTCCATAATATCCAACTTAAACCTCCCCCACTGCAACTTGAGACCATTGCTCCTTGTTCTGTCATCTGCCCCCACTGAGAACAGCCGAGCTCCATCCTCTTTGGAACCCCCCTTCAGGTAATTGAAGGCTGCTATCAAATCCCCCCTCACTCTTCTCTTCTGCAGCTGGAGGCCGGGGCTGGGTGGGTGCCCGGGTCTGGCTCTCACAGTCTGTCTCCTGTGCGCAGATCCCAACTTACCCAGACCCTCCATCTCTCTGAGCCCCACTTGGGTCACTGCCCCAGGGACAGACGTCACCATCCGGTGTCAGGGGCAGCGCCGGGACATGAGGTTCTTCCTGCACAAGGCTGCAGACCTGAACCCACAGCAACACATGGACCCTGCTGGGACCAGGGCCGAGTTCCGCATCCCCACCATGAGCTGGCAGCATGGAGGGAACTACAGCTGCAGCTACCGGCCCCGATCAGAGCCCTTCATCTCCTCAGAGCCCAGCGACACCGTGGAGCTGGTGGTAACAGGTGAGGGGCTCAGCTTGGCATCCCCGCTCCCAGCCCCACCCTCAGAAGGTCGGCACCCTGATGGGATGCTCAGAGCAAGGGTCCCAGTGCTAAGGGTTCCCCTGCCCCTGTCTGTGGTTATGCGGACCAGGGTCGGGGTGCTGGGGCTTCTCCCATCCTCCTCACCCGGCGGCCAGAGGCTGGGGCCCCCACTTGGCTGGGGTCCCTGGGCACGGGCCCTCTAGGCCCAATGGCTGATCCACCACTGGTCGCGGGGGGTGGGGGGCAATTTCTGAGTCGGTGTTTCAGCCCCTCCCCCACTCTGACAGACTCTGGTTCTATTCCCGCAGAGGGAACTGACCCAACCCAGCCTGGAGCGACGCCGGCTCCCACCCGCCTGGGCAGCGCGGGGCCAGGTACTGGGGCTGGGGGGGAATCTATTAAGTCACAGATTATGGGGCAGTTTCCCCTGTGGTTGCCCAGGGGGAGGGACGGAGGCTGTTCTCAGGGGCAGTGACTGCCCCCCCCCGCCAACAGATTTGGGAGGGGAGCGAAGCCTCCTGCTCAGACACAAACCCGCTGCTAACGGGGCAGCTGGACGCATCAGTGGCCATGGGTGGGTGGGGGGGGGGTTGAGCTCCCTGCGAAGCAGCCAGGAGCAGCCAGCATGGGAGGCGGGATACCAGGCTAGATGGGCCCGTTGGCCTGAGCCGGTGTGGCCATGAGGAAGTGGGTGAAATGCCTTAAAAATGGCGGCCAGGCTGTATCAGGCAGCGCCCCCTAGCGCTGTGCTGGGGCAATAAGGCCAGCCCTGATTGATGGGGAGAGCGCCCCTACTGAGCTCCCTGCCCTGCAGCCCAGCGTCCCCTAGTGCTATAAATCCCCCAAATGTTGTTGGCTCTGACCTCTCCTTGATGCCCTGGGGCCCCCCAACATCCTCCCCATAGAATTTTCTTGCTGCCTCGTGCCCTCGCGGTGTCCCACGCCCTTCGGGCGGCCTGCCTGGGTGGGA